TTTTTAAATTACCTTTGAAGAAGCACAATCAAAAAATATAAATAATCTTTTATATGCTACGTATTTGGCTCATTATCAGCAAATACTTGTGAAAAATTGACAAAATATTCATCTCAAATTTATTGGTTTTACGAGTTTTTTTAATTTGAAATTTTTGCTTGAAAACGTGGAATTTTGCATTTGAAAAATACAGATACACTCGATGCGTGCAATTCCTTGTCATCTTCATCTTTTTTCACATCTGCTGAGCACACGGCTCGTCAAAATATTCCACTTTACCAATTTCGATGAATAGGCAGACTGAGACAGCAGACGACCGAGTGCGGTGGCGAGTAAGAACGAAGAGCTGCGGTAAGGCAGTTTCACCCGCGCCAAGAGAGCAGCGCATGCGTATAACATGTTACGAAGGCTATCGGCACCCTCAAGCTGCTCGAAAAATTGAGGCGACCCGAACCCTCCAAAAGACCTCCGTTGGCCACTCAGAATCGCAATTTGCGTTCGTTCGACAGTGCGGCACTTCGGGTGCTGCTCAGAATCGCACCAATAGACTCAACAAAAACAGTACAAGGACGCTCTTATCGTCTCTTATTCGAAGAAAGAGAATCAATGCATGTGAAATGTCGCCAGCAAGGCGCGTTACTAGTTATGATACGAAGAATGTCATATGAGGGAAGCTTGCGTTAGTAGGGCGGCATAAGCTCGAAATCGTGACTTACCTCGACATTCAAGTGCACATTTGTGTCGCTTTAGTGAGAACGGCTATTGCCGCAACGAATGTAGCGAAACTTTTCGTGTGCATCAAGTAAGCGAGTCAAGAATGAGACCAGAAGTGATATTAGTTGACGTGTGACGTGCAGGGTAAAATGAAATAATATGAAATAAAATGTTCTAAAATCACACGAGCAGCCCGTGATGATCTAAAGAGTACTTGATACTCTAATGTGCATAAACCACGCGCCGCGTGGCAAAGTCACACACTACCTCGACGCTAAGACCGTCGATTAAAATTGTTCTTGGCTTACAAACAGAAGTTGCTCTTGTTGTGGCATTTCACGGATACTGACGTGTTGACGTGCAAAATTAATTTTCTGCACAAACCACGCGCCGTGACGCCACACATTGCCTCGGCGCTAAGACCGTCGAAAAAACTTACTTGATCACACGTAAATTAGTAGTGTAACATGTGAGCTAATCATTGGTGTGATTAGTTGTGTACTGCTGATCATTGAAGTGATCATGCAGGGTTGCCAACCATTGGTGTGGTTGTGTAACATGAGAGCTAAACATTGGTGTGATTAGTTGTGAACTGCCAACCATTGTAGTGGTTGAGTAGAATTTCCAACCATTGTAGGGGTTGTGAAATTGGTGCTACAAATCATTGTAGTGATTGTGCAGGGTTGAAAACCATTATAGTGGTTTTGTAACATTTTATTTCAGGTTTGTGTGATTCAAATCTATTAGTTGTTTATGAAATGTAATATTGCTGCATATGAAAGAGATATGACAGAGGTGTACTCAGAGATGACCGAATAATTAAAATATTTAAACAAGATTCTGAGATTTATTTTGTTTTACAGAATAAGCCACACGAGGACGTGTGTGTGTGTGTGATTTTTTCTACTTTTTTTTCTCCTAACCTCAAAAAAGTTATGGGTGGAAAATGGGTTATTTATGTTATGAAATTTCGGTTTCGGGCAGTTTCGGACAAGAAATCTAGTTTCGACTTCATTTTTGGTTTTGGCTAAACTTTCAACCGCGCCGAAACTTAGTGTTCGTGAATTATCGTGCGTCGTTCGGCTAACTCGTGGTCACCACTTGCCATCTCAGTTCGCACATAGATACATAAATAAATCGTACTATATTAAGTATGAAGTGGCTAAACGGGGACGTTACCATCGAGTGTTTAACAACGTTTAGCCACGTGATGCTTACGCTATTTTTTCTACTTCGACTCAAGTTCCACGTTTTAGTTTTCGTATTTCAACTTGTGTATTTTAAATAATCGAAATTTGCTTGCAGACTACTATACATGATTATACCACCCAGCGCGCGGGGCCATGTGGCGCATCGGGTCATATCGTGCTGCTCCGACACGAACATCAGCAACTCCGTAGGCAAATGCGCAGCCGCAAGCTCCGTCCCGAACATAATGCACGTAGATAATGGATATTACTCACGATTTGGCCGCCAATATAGAAAATACCACTTTTTGTATCTAAAAAAACGTGAAAAAAAAGTGGAAGTAAAGAAATATGTTTATGTAAGTAACAGTTTCGGATGAAAAACCAGTTTCGGTCGATTTCTAATTTTAAGTTAATTTTTAGGAAGTGGTAAATATTATAACCTCGAAAATTGGGGTTAAGGGGAAATTTATTGAAGACATCTATATATTTATTTGCTAAACGGTTAATTTTTACCTATAAACATAAACTATAAATATTTGTTATTATTTTAATATTAACCAAAAAACAGAAAATTTAACGTTTTTCAAAATAAAGTACTGGTTTTATAAACATAAAAACACAAGTTAAGACCAAGAACCAGTTCATTTTCAACATTCTAACCTCACTTTCTTAACATAACCTCAAATTTAACCTATTTTTGATATATATTTTGCGTGACCGGACTTTTGCTCCTAAGACGATCGCTCAAACGACAACTAGGTACCACAGTCATAACTGCGCACACGGACAGTTGCTCACAGGGCTTTTGCTCACATTGACAATTGCCCACAGTGACGTTTGCTCACACGGACAATTGCGCACATGGACAATTGCTCACTATTTAATTTTTTAAAATATTTTTTTAAAACAATGAATAATAATTATGAAAAAATGTATATACAAATATATAACAATTAAGAGGCCTCGCTAGCACGCTAATAGTGTTTGATTATTCAAATAAACTATTTGTTCATTCTGTCTTAATAGTACAGGATCCGGGGCCTATTTTGTCACTTGATTACTATCAAGCTAATTTTCCGTGAGTAGCTTCATTTTGATAAGACGCCCAACAATTTCCTGTGCGAAAATTTTTGATTGTGGTAGTTAACAGAGGTATCAATGATAAAATATGTCGATTTGATGATTCTCAAATATTAATTACTAACTGGATTGTTTTTTATTAAATCTTAAGATAATTATCTAAATTATTTGAAAAAATATTTGTCCTACAAAATCTATGGTTTCATCAAAGAGTCCTCCCCCTCCAACATGTATTGATAACGAGATCACCAAAAATTATTACTAACCAGCTGATTTTTTTTTTATTACTTAGTTAATATATATATAATGTCACGGTCACATTGTCCTACAAATTCCGTGGTATGTTATCCCGGTATTATTGAAAATTAGTAGTGTTAAAAAAATGGGAAGGTGTTGTGCTATTCCAGGATGTTTTAGTGGCCGAAAGACTAGTGAGAAGGTAGAAAAAGTAGTTTTATCCAAAGCACCAAAGGTGACTAATATCTTTGAAAAATATGTGTTATAAACAATTAATTTCTAACTAATAGCCCAAAGATTTAAAAATATGTCATAATTTCATGTATCTTGTGAAATATTGAAATATAATTCTTTTTAAAGGAGCCAAAATTGTGCAGGAAATGGAGTTCTGCTCTTGGCAAAAATTTGGAAGCTAGCAGCTATATTTGTGAATTATATTTTAATCCAGAGGATGTGATTAAAACTGATCGAACGGTTCTAAAAGATGGTAGTGTACATGTACATGAATTTCAAAGAGTTCATTTAAAGAAGGAAGCGGAACCTAAGTCTAATATTATTAGTGATAGCAACGAAAATATAATTGATATAGATATTGTTGATCATTCAATAATTGGTGACTGCAATCATAATTTAGGGGAGACAATAACTATACATGAAATTATAAATGAAGTGATTGAGCCTGAAATGTAATGTAGCCATAGTAATGTAAGTATTTAAAGGAGTACACTACCGCATAGTGGCGCGCTATATTGGCGAATGTTTGGTCCCCTAGATCGTGACCATTAATTTAACATGACGTTCGGACTCCTTATATCTATACTTCGTGGGGTAGTCAATTGGATTTGATGTTGACGTAGCTGTTGGTAATACAGTGTCATAATACAGTGTGATGGTACTATAGTACTTAGGTTTGAGCTTCATTGCTGGAATGCTAGATGGCGTTAAAGTAGTGAAATAACCGGATACAGAGGTATTATGGACTAAACAATTTCTTTATTTTATTTAAAAAATATTTTTTTTATTAAATAAAAAGTAGCCTATAACCTTTCGGGGACCACTAAAAATATGTGTACAAATTTTCATGATGATCTGTTAAGTAGTTTTTGCGTGAAAGCATGATAAACATCAGAACATTCGCATTTATAATATTAGTAGGGATTGTTTTTTAATAAATATAAAAAAAAAATTAAATTGTGAGCAATTGTCCATGTGCGCAATTGTCCGTGTGAGCAAAAGTCACTGTGGGCAATTGTCAATGTGAGCAAAAGTCACTGTGGGGAGTATTCCCTGTGAGCAAAAGCCCTGTGAGCAACTGTGCGTGTGCGCAGTTATGACTGTGGGCAGTTGTCGTGTGAGCGATCGTCTTAGGAGCAAAATTCCGGTCACGACACAGGTTCCCGTGTTTTTTTTTGATAAATTTTGATATTTGATATATTGATGATATATTTATTTATTTAGAATTTACAGTGGAATCCCAGTAATCCGGACACGGCTTCATCCGGCACCTCTTGTAATCCGACATGGTCATATGCCATATGTTTGTACTTTAGGATTTGTAATTTGTCGGATTACAAGGTAATCTTTTGAAAAAAATTCTAAGGGGTCTTAGGCAGTTTTCTAAAATCCGACAAATTCGCTCATCCGACCCTGCCCTGCAAAGTGATTGTCGAATTACCGGGATTCCACTGACTCTAATTTATAAAAATTTGACTAATTTTACATAATTTTGTAAAATTATCACCGCAAAATAATCACCGTTATATTTAAATACACTGTGTGTTTAAATTTTAATTTTTTTATTTAAAACAGGCAATAAATGTATAATTTATTAAAATATTAATGATAGAAATATAAAAATATGTTTTTGCTAAATAATTTGCAAGTCTCCAACCAAACAAATATTTACATTCGCTGACATTAATCAAATGCCTTTTGCTTTTTGTTGCACGGTACAAAGTTTACGACGCTCGTAGAGAAATTGAATGCACGAGTAGATTTTTATTCGTATATATTGTCGCAATGATCTATCAACATTGACTCGAATTTCAAACACAGTTTTATGTATATATGTAAGTGTAAAGCAATTAAAATGCATTAAAAGGAAGCACTACTTCATGCTCATGTGATTGCACAACCTTCCGTACCAGCCTGGCTCACATATACACGCGTGATCCACACACGTGCCGTGTTTACACGCCAGATCACAAACACTTCTGTGCGCCATTGCCCTGCCTATTTCGCAATGATCCCCACCGAAACCCTCGGGGCATTTACACTTGTTAACACCACGACACTTTCCGCCATTGTGGCAAGCAATAATACACTTCGAATATTCACAGTGTAAGCCGTAGAAACCCTTGGGACATTCACATGTGTCTTTTTGGACGCATTTACCGCCATTGAGGCACTTTTCTCCACAAATCCCACCTTCGCAGTGTCTACCTTGGAAGCCTGGTGGACAACTACACACACCAGGTGAGGTACAATTACCTCCATTGAGACATTGCGGATAACACAGCGCCGTGCGACAATGTTGGCCCATATAACCCTCGGGACACTGACAAATCTTCTCATGATTACACCAACCACGATTGGCGCAGGTTTTGTCGCATTCCGGATCGGGTCCGCGTTGGGAACACTCCTTCCTGAGGTTTAACCGCAGAGGAGTGCCATTTAACGGACGACCTTTTCTACTTTCAATCAATAGACCTATACTAAATGTGGCTATACCGGAACTATTACCAATACAAGGTAAAAGTATACTAAATTCTTTCGGGCGACGTGGTACCCTACCACGGATCTTGATAGATATAACTGGAGCTTCCAAAATGTCCTCATCGTACGACTGCAGGCGGTCAAAGTGATAATAATACTTTTTCAGCCCGGCTTTCCAAGTGAAATTCACGTAGCCCACTTCAGCGGGTATTACTGGCATCTGCTTATCAAAATTAGGGTCCAGGATGTATGGCAACACATTTCCGTTGAAAATCGCATAGACATCCATTACTTTTCCTAAAAATACAAATATTACCTATAATTAATACCTATTTACGGATTAAATTTTGGTTTTTCAACTTACCACTAAACATCCTGACCTGATTCTCGTCGATCCAAAGCGCAAGATCGCCATTATTCCTCGCATCGTTTTTAAGATCGTTCCTGGCCAAAGCGATCCCGGCGATAATGAGCAGAAGATAAGACACGCACATTGTGTGGACTGGGACTGGGACGAACTCTTGATATGGAATGCGGTACCTCCTTCCGCGATCAGCACACCGCAACGGCTGCGATTTTCATCTTCGCCGCTCGCACTCTCCGCCCAAATAGCACCACCCGCATCCTAACCACATAAAAGCAAGCAAACGAAACGTTAACAAACCGCAAATCACACAAATCCAAACAAATTGATTGCTTTTCTAAATTTGCCAACGTTGACTGTGTGAAATTTACGGGTAAAACTGTTTTTACGACTGTTTATCTAATGCAACATGCGATGCGTGAAGGTCGAATGAAAGCGTCGACATGCACCCGCGCTACTTACTGAAACCGAACTGAGCTATTCAGCAAAAGTGACAAAGCGAGGTGTTAAAGCTGCGCGCAGCGCATGTGTGCAGTTGGGTTGGTTTTTCGAGTGCAGAAGCGTCGAACAGACACTCGACCCGACACCAACACCAATGACTTCTAAACCGTGTTAAACACGCGGTGTGCCATAGAAGAACGCGGAGAGACGAATAAAAGAAGATAAAACTGGTGGAAAGGTAAGGTGGCAAGTTGCCACTGTACAACCGGTAGCTGGTTTTGATGGCATCTTGTCGAGTTTGCACAACGTGCAAAGATTCCAAACGAGATCCAATCAAGAACCGCATTGTTAAAGTCGTAGAAAATACCCAAAAAAACTCAACTAACACATTACGCACAGGTAGAGGTATACCTTCAAGATATATTCAACTGTTTCTTGTATTCAAAGTCAATTTTTGACCAAAAAAGCGTTCAGGAAATCGTAAAAAAAATTAATACTATTATAATATACAATAACTTAATCATATAGGAGTAGAATAGAGTTATTTCGGGTGCTGCTTCTTCAATTTTTGTTTGAGTCTTAATTCACTCATAAAATTACTCGTATGTTTTGGTGGCGGTGGTACCACATCATTTTCTCGGCGTGATAATGTAGATGGTGATGGTCCTGCTTCCTCTGCATTTTCTGGTATACTCTCATAAAGATCTTCAGTTGGATATCCATTTGATGCATAGTTATAAACAGCTTCTGGAGGTGTGCCAAATTGTTCAGACTTTGATTGTGTTTGTGTTATTTGCCCCACAAACTGATAATCGTCAGAATCATCTTGTGGTGATAACTGTGTTGCTGGTAATTGATGAAGTTGTTGAGGTGTTCTTGGTGACGGAGGTTGAGGATACCCGTTGATGTATTCATTGTTGTTTTTTGATTGTACATTCACGAATTGATATTCATCGCCGTCATCGTCTTCACAAGGAGTAATTATAGTAGAAGCAACTGGAGTACGTTCCATATGAGTTGACCTTGTTGGTACCCGTGGAGGTGTGCGTGGAATTCGTAGAGTGTTGGTCATACTTGGCGGTTCCGGCAAGGGTATTCCTCCCATCGGTGATTGATCCCTATAAAAACCAAATACATTTAATAAAACAATCATTTTATTGTTAAACAAAGACGTCTTACTTTCGGTTCTGATCAATATCTGCATATTCATTGCTGGTATTACTCTCAAGCGAAATATGTTTGGCTTTATCGACAGTCAAATGGTGTGCTTCTAGTCCCAAAGACTTTTTGTAGTTGTCAATGTCACTAATTGCAGATATCCACTGCAATTTTTCTTTTCTCGTTTTAGCCATCATCTTGATTAATAAATAGGTGTTAATATAGGTTATATTACAAAATTTAAGACATTTAACTTACAGTGAGTGTTTTTTCAGCAACGTATAGCACAAAAGAATTGCCGGTTTCGCCCAACTCCATCGCTGTGCAACTCTTTAATGGGTAGGTCTCCAGAGCTTGAGTTTTCTTATTAGAATTGTAGAAGAGAAGCCACTCGTCGAGCAAAACGACGAAGTACTCACGATTTCCTTTGAAGATCGCGAATATCATCGATTCTTTGCGGTGGAGCAAACCGGACTTGACTGGATTTAACTCACTCACTAGCGCATCTAATCAAAACCCAAACAATAAAAATTATTAATAATTATCTCGTTATCATCGAGTAATTATCAAATATTACTTTTATAAGGACATTCATTCATTTCGTCTTCATCCTGAACATCATCAGTAGTAGAATAGAAAACTTCCTGTGAATGTCGATGTTGTTTAGCGTCTGGCCCGACATATTCGTCCAGCATCATGGATTTCTTGCTCATATCTGTGTAGTTATTCGCGTCTGTTATCTGCATAAGTTTCGCGCGATTGCTGACATTGCGCACGTTCGCCGCAAGATTCAACGCTTTTGTTTTTAAATCATCATTTGTGACAGTTCTCAGGACATCTTTGTTAATAAAGTCGTAGACTTCTGTAATACACAACAAACAAACACTTATAGTTATAATTCTTATCAGTGTGCCTGCATTTTATCAGTATCAGCCTACGTGATATCAGTTTTTGCATCCTGTGTGCTTGACATGTAAAAAATGTTACCGCTGGGAATTACTGCGAATTTCTAATAATTCTATTTATGAATAGTTATAAATTTCACTTACCATTGAGTACCATACGTAAAGTATCCATAAAATCCATTGCGTTGTTGAATTAATGACAAAAATATGCAGTTTTATAATTTTTGTGGTTTGCGAATATTTCGCTGAACAATCCACACCCAAAACTTCAATGCAACTGATTGGTTGCTTGTGATGTATAGAGTTAAAGTCGTACGCGCACCCGCGTTGCGTTTCACCTCACTAATTGACAAAGTCAACTAATTGGAGTCAATGTGTTATTTTCGTGAAAAGTATAAGACGCTGCAGACTCCCGCAGCGCGAATGTCAACGTGTGACCGCGTGCAGCGCAAGCCTGAAGTGGGCGATGTTTAACTTCATTTCACTGCACTATACAATATTACTCATCGTTTGGTTTGATAAATAAATTTGTGAAATGACTATCGTAAACGCGGAATTGAAGCACTAACTTTTCGAATAGATGAGACTGGAATCGGGGCACTAAAAATCCTCCGTTTTATAAAGTTTGGTTTATCATAGGTTGTTATCTTAGATGGCAACCTAATCAGAAACGTGTATTTGTTTTATTTATTGATTTCAGGGAATTGAATGCGTAATTTTTAATATTTTACCGAATAAATAAGATATTGAAATAATCGGTGATATACACATGTGTCTAGGACATTTTTTTTTATTTTAAGAGAATATATGTGCGTAGTTTATTCAAAATGCTACGCACATGTTTTTATAGTTTTGAAAACAAATAATTGATTATTTTTAGTGATAAATGAGTTTATAAAAATTAAGATGGCGGTGTGTATTGTTTTTAAGGAAACACACGTGTTGTAAGGTTATGTAACGGAAGTAAGATGGCTGCCACACGACACAAATTTTATTTTTGTTTCTAATGTGTGCGATAGCATCAGTCATGAGTTCCATATCCTGTGTTGTTGAATATGTAAAATAATGATACCTATCCTGCCATTTTAGAAATCGTCAATGACAGGTGCGCCAGACACTCGATTTATTCCCATAAAATTAATTAAAAAAGATCAGCCGATCGTATTAACCGCATTATAATATTATTCAAGCATCTGTGTCCTTTTTCCTCTTATCATTTATCTTACAAGTATGAAATTGCGTCAATCGCTAAACTTGAAGTAATTTTTGAAACTGTCCATTAATAGAATTACCGCTCAAACAAAGTTCACTAAAATGATATCATGTTTAAATTATGTGTGCAATTAATTTTTAAAGATTTTAATATAATATATAAATTAAAGATGGTGAATTTTAGAAGTACTTAATCGCTTTAAAACGCAGTTTTAAGCTTAAAAATCATTGTTTTGCTTCAAAAACGTGAAATTCTTAAAGACACCAATTTAATTCATGGGATTTTCTTAATTTCTGTCAATATCTTTTATTTTAAGCGTCGTTGTGTCGTTTTTCGCAAATTTGAGCACAAAAATCAAAATTTTAATATCAATTATTAAATTTTTTCGAATATCTTACCTTTGGAAGCTATACTTGTGGGGAAAGATTGTAGGGGTTGTAGTGGTTGAGTAAATCCAATAAATCTTTAAATTTATTTTTGTTCAAGAATAGAATTTATAAATTAGGTGTTTCCTTAGTCTAAATAAAATAACTAATGCAAAAAATCATTCATGTACCACGAAGATATTCAATTTCGCCGGGTGCCTGGCCGCTGGTCGCCGGCACGCGCCGCAAAATCAATAATAACAGATATAAACATTCTCAAACCACGTCCCCTCGGCGACGTCGTCGGCGGGTGTGTCGCACAAAACAACGCAGATGTAAATATGGTCAGTGTAATTATTTTAGTATAGCATATAATATATATGTATAAATAAAATGATTGGATAAAATCAAAAACAAAACATCATTTGTAGTTAAAACGCCACCGCCTCACACAACACATTTAGGTTCGCTCCAATTTTGGTAATTAATTAAATTCAATTGGCTTAGTTTAAAATTAACTATTGCATGTACATGCATTGTACAGAGTTATAAATTAGGTGAGAACAACCACGCTAGGCCGAGGCGCGCATTGCCGGCGGCCTCCGGTCGCCGCCCACGGGCGACACCGGCCCTACTGTAAAAATTTAAAAAACGTCGACGCCCGCCGCCCCAATGCGCCCTCGCGGGAGGAATGTATACACATGCAACGCCATCGCCGCCATCGACCTAGCCTGGGCTGGTGGCTCGCGACTGTCTATCAGTAGTGATATGAGAGGAGAGGTGTGTCTGTTGGTTGGTTGGTGGTGGTGGTGGTGGTGATTCGAGCCCAGGAACTAATGAGAGAAACTTAGAAAGAGATTAGTGTAAACAACGTCCGACGTTTCGATCCGACAATCATTCCCAAACGTGTGTCCATCATGCACTGCTCGGCGCACTTGTTGCACATACACACACACACACTGTCCGTCACCGCCTGTCACCCGTCTCTCGGTTCGGTCCGGTCGGTCCCCGTCCGTACTCCGCACGCATCCGGATGGGCGCCGTGGCCGGGCGCGCGCACGATTGATTGAATTGATTGATCGTCTCAGTCAGTGTGTCAGTTCGAATTCGATAGAATGTTCATAGGAATATCTGCAAAACAGAAAACAGGCATGACTACCGTGCGCCACAACAGTCGAGTGGGACGAGCACGCGCCGAGACTTTGTGTTTCTTTCTCTATCTGTAGAATTGGGGCGGGCTTGCAGAAGGTGGGATCAGAGAGACAAAACAGGAGGATAATGAGCAGACCACCGCCCGGGGTTAGTAGAGTTAGGATGGAGCAGAGGCGTCCACCAGCCGCCAGAGGCCAGGGAGGGAGTTATTGCATGAAATACTCAGGATGGTCCGAGTCTTTCTCAAACCTCTTGGCCTCCTCTTGCATGCTCTCTTTTATTTTCAAAATAGCAGCCGATTCCGTTTGGTCCTGCAAGGAAAGCGACCTTTAGTGGTTAGGTGTCAGTTCTACAGAGAAGCACAAGCACCGGCCACCGAAAAATGCCTACTCACGTTTTCGCCGGGTCCGCCGAAGCTGCCGAGGTTGTAATCGCCCATGCCGCTTCCGCTGTCCTCGCGCGGCGTACCGGGCCCGCCGTTCGCCGGCGAGTTCTTCATACCGTCCATGCCATCACCGTTCAACACAGGGCCCATCGAGTTCGGACCCATGGGCCCCATCGGCCCGCCTTCCGGCCCACCGCCCATCGGAAACTCGCCGCTCATATTACCGCCCACCGCCGGTTTCATCATCGTGTACATATTTTCCCCGCCCGAATTAGACGAGTCCTGCGGGCTGGGCATGATAGGCGTTCCGGGACCAGGCGGGCCTGCCGAACCCGGCGGACCGCCGTAATTACCAGGCGATGAAGACGAATAATTCATTGGCTACAAATCCAAAACAAAAATTACAACCCATACAACACAAAAACACTGCAAAGTACCGTTGAGGTGTTAGGCTGCCATTGTGGTCGCCCACCAGGGCCTGTCATCGACATAGGAGGCATACCAGGTCCGCCCGGACCAAGACTACTATTCGGCGGTGGTCCTCGCAGGCCAGGGCCATAAGATCCCGGCCCCAGCGGACCCATCGCAGGTCCTCGCGGCGGATTCATTCGTGGGTTCATCGGATTCATACCAGGCGGTCCTAAACAAACCAAAAAATGAATACTCCAGCCCATTTACGAATCATACAAGTCAATTGTGTAGCACAAACGACACCGGCATGCTTGCACGTTGAATGTTTCATGTTGATCATGAATCACAACAAAAATAAAGAAGCAAAAAGGCAGTGGCAGTGGGTGTAAACATGAATGTCACCTGAGAGTCACAGGAAAATTATAAAATTGGTGCAGAAAGATTAAACCGAAACCATTAAATTAAAAATAAATAAACACATTGAGAAACATGTAGACTGCAAAAATGAGTGGTGGGTGGTGTTTCGTTTGAATTATTTACAGATTGACACGAGTATGATGCCCGCAGAGGGCGCGAAAGAAGAGAGTGGTGTGAAATTATTTGAGCGGCATTTGTAAACAATGAAGTGGTGTTGAATGTATATGAGAGGTGGTGAAGGAGCGCATATTTGCCTACCTTGCCAACCTACAAACTCTCCGCCTTCACCTGGAGACAGAAATAGATGCAATTACATGAGGCATATCATTTATGAGAGGTCGGGGGGCTGATCATGCACGTGTGCACTCTTGAATCAAATCGTTAATCAATTAATTTTAATATATCATTCAATAAATTGATTTTCCGGTGATCGAATTAGAGAACCAAAAGGAGAACTAAACAAAATATGATAAGATGTTTGATATCTATAATCAATAAAAATTTCTTTTCGTGGTTGTCGTCTCTGATGCTTTGAGCAAGTGAAAACTTGAAGAGGAGAATAACTCGAAACCTACCTTGCCGTGTCGGATCCATGTTGTTCTGCATCATTGGTTGTCCGGGAGGCTGCAAACATAATCATTGAATCGTTAGCAAATTAATTGCGCTCGCACGCACAGCGAGAAGAACAATGTACACGCAAGCGGATGAAAGCAGAACACAAAACGCGTCGAGAGTATAAACAGAAATAATGATGATCACAAAACACGTAAAAGCACACGCACAAGACAACAGAGGAGAATAGAGAAGAGAATATAGAAGATAAAAAGACGTAGAGAGAAAGCGAGAGAGAGAGAGATTACATTGATTAAGACACTTACTCCATTGAAATCACTGCCTATTTGAGGCATTCGCACACCAGGTCTGGGACCTGCGGGATATCGTGGACCCATGAAAGGTTGCGACGACATCATCTGCGAATGTGGGGGTGGTGGTTGCGAATGCGGGGAGGGTTGACTTGATGGATGTGTGGGGGGAGATGGTCGCATTGTTGAGTTCTACAAATGCAAAAAGAAAATTTCACATGAAACCATTGCGCACGAATCGAATTCAAAAATTATTTTCTTTTCTTTACTCAAATTTTGTTAAATCTACTACTGATACTACTCAAAAACTACGACAGGGTATATACGAGGGTATAATCATTCAAACTTGAGTTTTAAGTTAAGTTCACAAATGATTTGTTGTTAAAACACACGCGCGTCCGTAGGGAAATGAGGCACACTTAAAAGCATTTGTTAGAGTGGTTAGTAAAAAGACCATGTAGAGAGAGTAAGTAAAATAAAAGACACAGTAAGCTGGGTTCGCGCCATGGCGACGTGATACTCACGGGGAAGAAACCGGGCGGCATGGGCCCACCCGGCATTCCATCATTCGGTGGCATCTGCCCCAGTGGACTGGGCGCAGGTCCCGTATTCTAAAACAGCAAAAAATCATTAAAACCCCACTCAATACCACAATTTAAGTCAACTTACATGTGCTATTCCATTTACGCCATAACCCGAATTGACAAAACCCTAAAAACAAACACAAATAACATGAATAACGGCAATTTAAGGTCTTAACCTACCCTAATTCGAGTTATCAATCAATAAACTTATCAAAAGTTTAGTCTAGACCGCTAATATCAATGTGCAAAGTTCAAATGGCAACTATTTGATCTATCGCATCATAATTAATTGCTTATAATCATTGCAATAACTTAAACCCGCAGCAATTATTATTAATACGAAGAAATAATAATTTCTGCAGGTAAATGCATATTCCTGCTTATGTAACATGTTTATTTATGATAAAAATGTTCAAGGTTCGCGGGCGATTCATTAAAATATAAAGTAAACGACGATTTACAGTAAAAATATACGCATGTAATACAAAACTACTGTATGTACAAGTAGTCGTGGTGGGATTTGTGACGTTTCTGCAAAATTAAACAATTTTTTTCAACGCTGGTGTGTTGGTGTGTACGCGGTGTAATCTTGGCACGGTTGCTGCGCACCCGCCCGCCTTCCGCCGGTGAGTCGGCTACTCGGCTCTAGCTGCTGCTAGCAAATCGTTGGTTGGTGTGCTGTGTGGTGTTCAGCGGTCGCTTCTCCTCGAGTTGCCCACGCGAACCGTGCACGTTGCTTGCGTTGCCTGGAAACGCACGAACGCGTTGGCCCGCTGTGCACGGCGTACCTGGTCGCTCGTACGCGGATTGGTGTTGCTCGGCGAGCATACACTCAAATCTTTTCACTCTCTTGTATATACGTTGAGTAGTATTAGACTTCTCGCTCTTGCGGCGGCGTTGCCAGCATTCCGCTCGCCTCGACCCGAGTATTGATCCGCGGCGATCGTGCGCGCGTCGTGCCGGTAGGGAGAAAACGGTAGAATACCATCGGACCGGCGTCCACAGCCGAGACTCCGAGATGCGGGAAGCGCAAACGCGACACACCGCCGATCACCAACCAAATTGAAACAAACCGAAAAAATCTTTATCTCCACGAAGAAGCGAAAAAGAAAACACAACTATCACTCACATAATCATGAAAAGCTTTCGCCTCTGAAGAATGCTCGCATGTGTCTCTTCTTTCAGGTGCTGCACAATAAAGGTCCCAAAATACACTGTAATTAATACAAAAAATTAACACACCACAAACAAAAACAGCAAAAAATTAACTTACCACCACCATGAATGTAAAAATCCAGGCGGTTCCCCAAGTGTTATATTCTTTTCCCATCGAATCTAAAAATTCCAAAAAAATCAAACAAAAAATTAATGCAACTGAATTCAACAATTTAATGAGATACTGACCTCTGAGAGAAAAGTTTGTGCTGCTTTCTGTGCGCCAACGTGTAGCAAATATTCGTAAACGTACAACGCCAACCTGCGAACAAGCAAACAATATAATTATCAACTAAAACAAAACAAAAAAGAAAGCGCAGCCGCCGCAATGAAAACAGTTGAATGTTGTTGACACGAGTGAAAAGTTTCGGGGAAATTGAAGAAAACTTCGACAAACTTTTCCACACACACACCCTCACACCACGCAACTTTCGAAATTCTTCAACTTTTCAAGTTTATTTTTATTTATTTCGATTTTCAGTAAAAATAATAATAATTTTAAATGGAAAAAAATACAGCAACAAGTTTTTACGTAAATGCAAATAGAAATTTGTTGATACATTGATAGTGAGAATGTAAGCGAAGTAACCTAAACCTAAGTACGTCGTAAATGCGGTGCGATTGTGTAAAAACAACGCGGCGTGGATATTTTAAAATATTTAGAGGCCACATCGACGCACAAAACGCGATTTTCGTTCGAAATAGAACAAAATACAAACGGCGTGTAGAAGAAGTTGCCTAACTATTAATAGTTTCTTGTGCTTCGATTCTGCGTCTATTTCGGTGTTCATTTGTTTACAAAGTTTGCGAAATGCAAGACTCCCAAGGCTGTAAATCCACAGCTGCGGCCGCATTACTGTAATAAACTTTGTTTGGAGGGTGCAAAATTTACTACCTACTTTCGGCTGTGTGTGTTGACCAAGTGACCAACTAACGAAACCCAAACACTTCGTTGAATATTATTACGGCCGCCATTTGATTTTTTGCTTTTAACAATTGATTGAAGTAATGTTTACCGTTGCAGTGAATAACTGTAACTGTAACCATTAGCTGAATTTACTGTACAGCTACAGTTAGTTTTGGAATAGTAATGAATATGCATGCTACTTACTTCTCCCTGGCTTGCGCATCCGAGGGCACCGTCGATCCTTTTCCCTTGGCGTACATTGTTTACAAATTGTCCGTGCACGGATCACCCGCGCCGCACGCGTTCGATCGCCCTCGACACACTCGTCCTCGCACGCACGCTCTCGCAGTCACCTTCCGGCGTGTTGGCGTGTTGATTACGCGCCGCTGTCGTACATTCAGGTATTCGCAGGGGGAGAGATCACCGTGTCGTCTACATGGTTCGCGTAGCGGCGGCGGCGTCGTCTTCACCGGCAACCGGCCCGCCGTCTATGTCATGCTCCTTGCCGCAAACTCGCGGGTTATGATGTGCTGCGGGGTTTCCACTGTGACTCTACGCCGTGCGGTGGCCGGGCATGCGTCCTCGTCGTCGTGTGGTACACTCGCTACACTCGTCCCGTTATCTTTGCAAGTCACAAGCGGCGCACAACTACGACGGCAAGCGTAGACCGCGAATGGTTTGTTTAAATTTATTTCTGCACCGATAAACGCGTTTGCTGTTGGTAATGATACTACTACTGTTTCGGTGATTCGTCGTTGGTGCTGTGCGGGCCGGTGCGCGCACGTAGACGTAGGTATCGTTTGTCGGGCTTCGCGAGTACGGTTGTTACCTGGCTGTGCGCTTGCGACAAGCACGAACGCGCGGCTTTGGCTTGTGCGCTTGTGGCGGTGGATGCTGCGAGAGGTGCCGGGTGCAAGCTGGCAACAGCGCGCTCCGACCGGCGAGAGCCTCGGCCGCTGCGCGCGCTTCAAAACCAGTCGAACGCACTCGACCAGCGAATCATGGGCCGCGTAGGAAATATTTGCCCTTGCGCCGGCCGCATCCACGCAACAAACGCAACAAACTCTTATTCTTCTCTTGCGGGCAATATTTTCAGGCGTCGCGTAGAGACTTTCAACGCCTAAATATAGGCAACTAACTTTACACAAAATACAAAATAATCTAATATTACAAAAATATCATAATGGAAATAACTTGGGAAACATTTAAAAGTAATCTGCAAGAGTTTCATGAATTATCAGATAAAATACACGATAATTGGCAAATTTTTGATGAAAAAGTATAAATTTTAAGTGAAAATTTCACCTTAAATTTAAAATAATCAAATTTTAGGTGTTTTACACTGATTATTCAACGTATTTAATCAAAAAACTAAGAAAACAATCGAAAAGAGATGAGTCCACGCTTACTTTCGAGTATCATATCACTTTTGACGGAATTTATTCGGTACCAAAGCTTTGTTTCAACGTTTTTCGTACAGGTAGACCTATTTTACTGAAAAAACGCAATATATCAATAAAACTTGTTAATGTTTAACTCTAGATGGTTCTTTACTAATGTTAGATGAAGTTCTGAACCAATTTGAGTTCCTACCAAGTGATAACGTGTTAGAAATCTTAACACAAATGGTAATACATAAAAAACGCATAAATACCCGTTTTTAAACATGTTTTGTTGTTTAAAGGATCATCCTGTATTGCAACGGCCATTTTATTGTCTACATCCTTGTAAGACATCAGAATTAATGCAACTTACTGCAAAAAACTCGTAAGTGTACTTAAAATACTTCTTTCAAATATAAATTTGTGATTATTCAAGGAAAAACGTCCTGGTGACATGGCTAAGCACCGTGGGACCAAGTGTAGGACTACATTTAGACAACATCTACTCTCAATTAACATAAAATTGAAATAAATTTATTAAATAAGCAAATTACGTTTTGTGCCATCACCATTGCTGACGTATTGCGCAAACCCACATCTAAACATCAATAAAACACCATTGAATAACACCGATTGCTAATTTCGACCAGTTTAAAGTCTGCTTTAAACGGTAGCGACCATCTGCGGGCAGTTGGGCACATCGCAGATCACCTCGTTCGAGCAGGACGAGTTCCTGGAACGCGCCTCGAGATACTCGAAGAGAATTGGTTGCTGACAATACTGACACTCCTAAAATCCACAAAAATTAAATATTAGCACTAATAAGTATAATATTACTCAGTTTATTTATAATTTACCTTGCTACATTGTCTGCCTGTGAATGGCAAACCGACTTTAGTCCAGATCTCTTTGAGATCCGCCACTAAACGGTCCATCATCTCCTTGTTGTGATGCGGTGTTGGTGCCAAACGAAGCTTCTCTTGTCCACGCGCAACAGTCGGATAGTTAATCGCCTGCACATAGTGTCCTTTTTCTTGAATCAACAAATCCGACAACTGAGTGCTTAACATTGGGTTGCCTATCTTGATCGGGATAATATGACTCGGCGTGTGTTCGACGGGGAAACCATGACGCAGCAAAGTATTGCGCAAATAACGCACGTTGCCTTGATGAAGAGAACGCAAAGCACGACCTTCTTCCGAAGCAAGAATATCGATCGCTTTCACAGCACCGGAGAGCACCGTAGGTGGCAGTGAAGTAGTAAAAATAAATCCGGCAGCATACGAGCGGATCATATCCACTAGCAGAGAATTCGCAGCTTAAAAAAAACAAACAAAAACTTATAATAAATATGAATAAATTCAGTTATAAATGTATTACCTATGTAACCACCAACATTTCCGAAAGCTTTACCAAGTGTACCACTGATAATATCCATGTTATGCAATTGATGATCGCGTTCCCCGATACCAGCGCCATGATCCCCATACAAACCAACCGCGTGCACTTCATCGACAAATGTTAACGCTCCATATTTATGCGCGATATCACAGAGTTCCTTCAATGGGCAAACAGCGCCTGTCATGGAATGTACCGTCTCGAAAGCAACAATTTTCGGCGTTTTCACATCAACCGTCTGCAGCAATTCCTCCAAATGCGCGGGGTCATTATGTCTGAAGATATGCTTCGGTACTTTACTATTCCGGATGCCTTGGATCATCGATGCATGGTTGCCTTCATCCGAAAATATATGACAACCAGGCAAAGCCTTCGCCAAAGTGAACAAAGTCGAATCATTGGCGACAAAACACGAAGTGAACAACAACGCGGATTCTTTCTGATGCAGCTCAGCCAGGGTTCGCTCCAACTTTTCATGATACATAGAATTACCGGAGATGTTGCGGGTGCCACCAGCGCCAGCGCCGAATTGGTCCAGGGCACTGCGCACAGCATTCTTCACCTCCGGATGGCAAGACATGCCTAGATAATCATTGGAACACCAGACAGTGATGGGGCGTTCTCCCCAGGAGTACTCCAATGCAGCAGGGAACTGTCCTGGACCAGCCAGACGGTTCACCTTCTTGAAAATGCGGTAAGAATGATCCTTCTTCTTTTTCATGATCTGCTGGTGGAAGAATTGATCATACTCGAAGGAATTACCTAGCAACACACAACAAAAATAACATTTTATTATCTATGAAGTCCAATATTGATAAGATAAAAATGATTGACCTTGATATTTGACCTATGATGTCATATTATACAAAATGGTTACCTTCAGTGAGATTTTCCTTCTCTTTCTTTGCATCAATCTCAATAATGTCCTCCTGGTTGGCCACCTTGACCATTGAAGTGACTTCCTTCAAGAAAGGACAGCTTTTGCTGTCTGTGCCGGAAATTGGAGGAACAACTGACTGTTCAACAACTTCTAAACAAATTAAACACAAAAAATCAATAGCAATTTTACACCTAGATGATTAGAGAGTTAATTTACCTTGGCTTGGACCACTTGGCATACTATTCATTGTCCTGGACATGACAGGACATTGACTGCCAAAGGTCTTCAACAAAGTTGGCCCATAATTCCTCACATACGACTGAGTCAACTTGGTTAAAAATGGGCAGGGCATGTTGGAATATTGACGAAAGAAATCTAAAGAATGCAATAATATTTATAGCGATTCATCTAATGTTTTATAATTACTCAGATTGCATGTGCAATTGAGTGATTATGTAAACTTAGAGGACAAATGTTGTAACATTGTAACACTGACCTGGCAGCGCTGGCAAATTCGGGACGTGTCGTCGGGCGAAGTGCCTTCCAATCACCTAGAACAACGAAATTCTGAGACTGACCGTCGGCACACACGCAAAAGTTTCCACTGCGGGATTGGAAAGTGATTTTTGCGAATACAGTGATATCTAGGTCAAGTCTTTGAGACGTTTCAGGCTGCTGAACTTCGATTCAGTGAAGGTGCAAGTTGCGACTACACACAGCGATCGCCAATGAATGACTGAGCGAGCGGAAATTCTCGTTACTCGGACGATTGCCACTTGGCTTATAAAGGCAATCGAGTCCGACGAATACGTCGATTGAACACACGATGTGAATTATGAAAGTAATCGTTAATCACGAGTGTGGTTTCATTCCGAGGTAATTCTGACTCGTGTCCAGTTTTTGATGCATATTTGGTTGCATATCTTTTAGGCAAGATTTAAAATAAAATAAAAATTTTAATTTTTTTAAATACATTCTTGGTATGTATAGATTTATAGTGCGTTACTTTTTACATTTTACGCATTTACATTCTCCATTTTATCGAATATTTACCGCAAAAACATGATAAGTGATAAGTCATGCTCGACCATTATGCTAAGTCATGTCACTCAACTTGAAGTATCGTTCAGACTGTTTAAACAATCAAAAACCCCACATTCATGTTGTAACAAACAATTTTATAACAAATAACAAATGATAGACGTTGTTATTTTAATTAATATGCGGTTTACTCTATTTTTCTTTTAATAATACAACAAAACAGGAAGTAAAACTAAATGACCAATGTTATTATGGATTAAAAACAGAGTTTTCGTGTAATAACTTATATGACTTGCAATTTTTGCAATATTACTTACGTTGGCGATTTTTATTGCATATTTTCGGCTGGTTACGCAACAGTTAAACAGTAAACTATAAATAATTAATATGTTTGCACGGTTGCATGGCGTGAATTCATCAATAACAATCTTTTAATGATATTTTTATTTATGAATCCACTACGCTAAATATATATGACTGAATATATATATATGATATATATGTAACTTAAGTCAAGATTGTCTAGAGCCAAGAAATAAGAGAAAGTTAAATTAAAAACTGCAGACTAATCACTAAATCAGCTCGAGGCAATACTAGACAACTTATAAGTGGTTATAAGTGCCACCGAGTGAACTAAATACTGCCTATGTAGTTAAACTAGACAATAACTGTGCCTACGTCAGGTAAACGGCAATTAATTTACGTAATTTACGTCACACACGTAAATTCCCCACATTTTTATTGTATAAATGTGTTTTATGATAATTTTTAGGTTAACATAACCTAATATCACGTCTATTCAAACAAATCAATTAATTTCTATAATTTTTAAACATTTCAAGGTATTTGCAGTCATATTAAACCATTAATAATGTGTACGTCTGGCATTTTATACAATTGTGCAAGTGCTGAGATAATAAATTAAATATTTATGAATAATAATCACCTTGCAGCGCAACGCAGCAAAAAATCCCCACTTGTCCATCGTAATAAATTAAACTTTGACTTAAAACTTAAATAAACATGATTTTCAGTTATTCAAATGTGTTTTTAATAATGCATGCACTTCCCCGTTGATTATAATTTTGCATAAAAGTGAAATCAATTGTTTTAATAGAAGATTTGTTGCTTTGGACTTGTTGAACTTGTTTAACATGTCTATCGTCACTCACTGCGAAGTCCGCACACGTCTCTGGACATTTGAATCAATTTGAATATTAAATTTGGGTCAGGGGTGTATTTACTTGAGCTAATTGAGCGCGTGTATCGCGTGTCGTCTAATTAAATACCCAAGTGTAAGAGTTTGAGGTAATAAACTCAAATTAAACAATGATTAAACATGAAAATCGACGATTATCATTAATTTGACAAGACAATCAACTTTTTCTTTCAAATTTCGAATAATTTGTACTGTTTGTGAGAAAATTAAAATGAAAGTATTAATAACGTACCACTGAAGACATCATCCGAAGTAATCACACACAGGAGTTAAGTAAAGTAGTAATCCACTGATATAACTTTGCACAGCGTTGTAATTTTCGCGATTTCGAATTGAAAGCAAGCGTTCCGAATTCGATGCGAGAAGAGAAACGATTGACGCAGCAGCAGAGTTTAAAGTGTGTGTATACCTTGATATATTGACTCTTTCTTTCGCTTGCTCCTTCCTTCTTTTAATTATACTTATAGAATCAGCGGATTAGAGGTAGAGGTAGTGAGCAGAGCAAAGTTTTTGAATCAACTGCACGCCGACTCGATGTGCCAATCGTTTATAGTCCAAGCTGGACACTAGGACACCTATTGTCTGACTAATAAGCTAATAAGCTGATTAAACGTGGTTTGAATACTAAAAAATAAGTATCTCGAATTACGTTTGGGGAATTTTTATTTTAATGTTGCTGAATTTAAATTAAACCTGTTTTGTTGGGATATATTAAGTGTTTTGACTATTATTTTAGATTCAGGAAGGTTTTATTTAATTTATTTTTAAATTTCAGCCATTTTGGAAGAGATTAGGTTATGAAAATGTAATTTTTGACATTGTAACCTATAAAATGATACAAATAACCTGTAAATTAAACATAAAGTTATTTTTTAGGTTATTAATTGACAAATTTTGTGGTTAGTAAAACAATTAACAAAATACTTTAGTAAAAACTGTTTTCATCAAATAATATCAAGATTATTAATAATTTTTCTCTAAAAACCTCTAAATTTTCAAAATGGCCTCATTAAACATAACTCTACACATATACACATATATAACTGTCACAGATTCAGTTTAAGGAAAATTTACTACTAAAATTGTTTGTTTGCCGTAAAAGTGTTTGTCATTATCTTTATATAATTTTCATTTCATGATTAAATCTCTCTAGCAACAAAACCTTCCGTAATACACGTACCTTTGTTTCTCACTCGCTCAGAGAACGCTGTGTGCACGACGTGATACAGCGAATTGAATATCATTTTAATCGCTCAATTAGTTTTGCTTAATCGTTTGGTGCCGCCGACAGGAAGCCCACCGAAGGGATATCGTTGATGAGCGCCGAGTCGCGGGCCCTTTTTCATTCGCGCTCGTCATCAGCGTCACCATCAGCAGCATCCGTTATTTCCTAGCTTCCCCTGGGTGCCGACTTGCGTTTTGCCATCGTAAATGTGAAATTAATTTCGTTTTATTGCCGCGCGCGCTCGATGCAAACGCGATTCAAACGCAGAAACACATAAAATCGATAATTGACCAAGTTTAGGCAATTATTTGTAATGTATCAGTCTAGTGCAAGTTGATTTGTTGGAAAATCCACTAAGTTTTGATCTAATTGGGTCAAAAAGCATTGAATTAACAAGATTGTGTTATTGACAACAATTGATTGTAAGTATAACAAGTTTTTGTACAAAAATGATAAATTTTGTGCTTTTTGCAATTTTTGTTTTAGTTGTGTAAAAAATGGACACCAAACTAAAATCCCCACAAATTCCCCAAAAACCAAACATGGCCAAGCAAAATGGCACAGATTCCTACGTTCGAACATTCTTACACTTGCAACAGTAGTCGGTGTCCTCGGAGGAGTCCTTTTCGGTTTCATTCTACGCGCTGCTAGAGACGATCAATGGCCGCTGCGCCAAATCTCCTACGTCAACTTCATCGGAGACATTTTTCTACGAATGTTAAAATCCCTAATTCTTCCATTGATTGTATCCTCGTTAATCTCCGCCATTGGATCATTAGATCTTTCGCTCTCCGGAAAAATCGGTTACCGAGCTGTTTGTTACTACTTAGCAACGACAATCTGCGCGGTTATTTTGGGAATTATTGTTGTTACAATCGTGCATCCGGGAAGAGGCGACTCCGAATCGATTGCACGTGCTGGAATCTCTCGAAATGTCACTACAGTTGACACGCTGATGGATTTATTCAGGTAAGTGCTAAAAATAATTCAAAATGGCGTCCATCAAAGCAAAAATAACATTTCAATGTTATTCCGCACTTTAGGAACATGTTTCCACCGAATTTGGTGCAGGCGTGCATCCAACAAGTAAGTCACCAGTCGCCATTTTGTATAAACATCAATATTTATTCGATTTGATTGAATTTTAGTACCGGACGTTATTGCTAGCTCCATTGAAAGGCACTGGTATGATTTTAACCTCAAAATATATAAAAACAGCCATAAAATACTTATTTTTCACTAGGTGATATTCACACATGGACAATGTCACATGAATACGTCTCTGGGACGAATATCCTAGGCTTGGTGGTGTTCTCCACTGCTTTGGGGATATCCTTAGGCAAAATGGGCTCGTCCGCGGAGCCATTGATCACATTTTTTCAGGGCATGAGTGGCGCCATGATGACCATCACAAATTGGGTCATCTGGTTCTCGCCAGTCGGTGTATTCTTCTTAGTATCGTCAAAAATACTCGAAATGGAAAGTTTCAGTGTGGTTATTGGTCAACTTGGAATGTATTTCATGACTGTACTATTCGGGTTATCACTGCATGGGTTCATTGTGTTACCCATAATGTTTCTGATTGTGACTAGAAAGTCCCCGTTTAGATACCTTACTAATATGGGGCAAGCTTTGGCTACAGCATTCGGCACCGCATCAAGTTCGGCAACATTACCGGTTGCCATTAGTTGCCTTGAAGATAAAAACCACATTGATAGTCGTGTGGCACGTTTTGTGATGCCTATAGGTGCAACCATTAATATGGACGGAACGGCGCTGTATGAAGCCGTGGCGGCCATTTTCATAGCGCAAGTTAGAGGTATCTCACTCAGCTTGGGCAGTCTGGTTGCTGTCAGCATCACAGCTACAGCCGCAAGTATTGGCGCAGCTGGTATACCGCAAGCGGGTCTGGTAACAATGGTCATGGTGTTAGACACTGTTGGTTTACCAGCTGAAGATGTCACATTGATCATAGCCGTTGATTGGTTACTGTATGTTCACATAACCTTTCAATTTACAAACATAACCTTAATTCTATACTATTTTGTTACAGTGATCGTTTTAGAACAACAATAAACGTAATGGGAGACTCCTTGGGTGCTGGAATAGTAAACCACCTCAGCAAAGGAGAGTTATGAGTGTTTAAGACACCAATAACTGCATTAAACAATTATTTATTTCGTAATTAACCGCTTAACACTGTTTAGTTTGCGCCAACATGAATTATTCTCGCGTCAAATCGTTTCTTTCGCATTATTCATCATAAACCAAACCGAATAAAGTTTTGAATAACTCGAACGCTCATCATTCATCCACCTCTTGCATAATACTGCCGCACGAAAGCAAATCGACTTTTTTTGTTAATATTACATTGCACAATTATATATGTAGGACTCCTAGGCACCGAACTGATGCATAATATGAATTAATAAGTATTTAAATGAGAGTTGATCAATGAACTACTAAGTGCTAACATGTTTATCTTAACATAAGACACATTCAACGAGTACTCCTTAAGTTGGCTACAATTATAGTCATTGCAATATAGTTTCTTTAACATTAACAACTCCTTCTGACTTCTAATCGACTAAATATCTAAAACAATCCGTGCGAAAACTAATTCTCTTCATAAATTCAGTTACTTCATTAGTCAAAATGCAAAAATATAGCTTCAGTCCAATGTTTTATGATGAAGGCACTATTATTCTAGTATTAACCATAACCATTTGTTTTGGTTATTTTCTGCAGTTTCTCTACAATTCTCTGTTTGTGTTTGTTTTTTTTAAGTCATACCGCGAGTTTTACAAATAAAATTGCTTCCTTTTCGTGGCGTCCGGACTGATAAATAAATACACGTCATAAATGATAAGTTCTGTGATGTAAATGTATAGACCTAAAACGCGTACGCTGTCGAGTATGTAATTGTTTACAAATTCATCGACTCGGTCAGTTTCTTCCGTCGTTTGTTCAGCAGTGAATTGTTGGAGTTGTCCAGCGTCTTGATGCGTACAGCGTCGTAGTCGACGCGCATCGTCGCTAATGAACGAGTCATTTCCTCCTGGACTTCCGGCCACAGTTCCTCGCTTTCGCGTAACATGCTTTGTGTGTGTAGGGGTGTCGCTGGCACGGCCGTATATTGCTAAACACATAAATAAAGCATATTTGTTTAGTATGTGATAAGAATGCAAATGGTAGCGGGTTAAGTGACACTTACAGCAATCCATTTGTTTGCCATTACTTCATCGATGGTCAGACGAGATCCAGTCGCAATTTGTAGCATTCCTTTGATTAAATCTTTCGCATCATCGGTTACCTTAGCCCATTCCGGTTCCGGAAAGGTGTACTGTCCTAAACGAATGCGTTTTTTCATTCCGGGAGAAATCGCCAGGCCATGGTTGCTGTAAAATGGTGGAAATCCACACAACCTACATAGAATAATACACCGTTAGTTATAGTTTTACAGTTTTAAACAAGTAATAACTTACAGAATATACATTATCACGCCTAACGACCAAATATCACAGCTTTTGTCATATTTCTCCGGTCCCAAAACTTCGGGAGCTGTAATAAAACATAAGAATTGTAGGCAATTTGTTATACATGGCCTTTTTCAAAATGGCCGTTATCTTTTCACTCACCAACATAATACGGAGTGTAACACGGCGTTCGCAGATCGGAGTTCGGCAAATTCTCTTTGGCAAAACCAAAATCGGTGAGTTTCAGCACGCCCTGCGTGCCTTCCTTTGAGTAGAGTAGATTCTCAGGCTTCAAATCTCTGTGAGCAATGTTCATGCCATGTAGGCACTTAACAGCGATGCAAATTTCATGCATAACCTGCGCTGCCTCTGAAATTCAAATAGTATTGATAATAAGTGCGTAAAATTCATTGCTTGCGGCGCCATTTGCACCCGTTACTAATCACAACAAGCAAATAACAATCATCCGCGGTGTTTTACACGCAAGATTCGACGAATTCTACGCAAAACATCGGAGAAAAATTATAATATTGCAACTTAATATGTATGTACTACTAAGTAAACATTGAACATACTTCTAATAATTTGTTTGCATGGTGTTATCAATTTGCTTTCATTTTGTTCGTTTACTTAACCGTACAAACAAATAAACGGCGCGGTAATCGACGTAATATTACACAATATGTTAATAGACTTTCTGGGAAAAGTACTGAAAATAACCTTTTGTCCCTTAAGTCATAATATTGCACAAAAATATTGAGCAATGAACAATCAAACACCAATTCATTCATTCACAATTCATGAACTAAACATGGCAGAACAACCATTTCATCAGCAAATTCATCAAAAATGATTAAACTTTAATAATATTAATGATTTTTACCTCTCTCAGTAAAAGGACCATCCTTATTATCCTGCCTGTCCTGAATTCTTTGAAACAACTCTCCACCCTCCATACTAAAACAAAAGAAAGTTTTATAAGTAAACAAGTAGGCATTTGTTGTGCGTAAATCATTACCATTCCATTACAACTAGTATGCACTCTGTGTTAGCATAAATATTCTCATAAACGTCGATCACATTAACAACATGTATGCAGTGACTCACTTTCCAATGGAGTTCAGCCTCCCTGCGAGCTTTTGGCGAATCAACCAAGACCTGAACACAATTTTTAGGTTATCTATCTTTATTAATAACTAATAAGATCTAAACTTACTTTCAATGCATATTTCTCCTTGGTGGCTTTGGATGTACAAACAACAACTTTGCCATTGATTCCATATCCCAAAACCTTCCTGATATATCATAATCAGCGGTGATCTTCGACGTCTTCGATTGTTTGATTTGTCCGCTGATTTCATCCAGGAAACGTATCTTCGCTGGCGCAGGAAACATTTTTATATTTGTTGTTTGCACGTCGTAATCGCTGGTTTTTCCACACACACCAATTTCAGTTGTGTGGATTATAGCGTGTTTCGGCTGTTTTACGCAACACGCAACTTCACTCGCGGAGATAATTATTGATTATTGTGCGACGTTATGAAATTCGAAGCGAGTTCTTCAGCAGGCCGCGGTCGAGGGCATTATGCGATGGATTCAAAAAGGCAACGACGCGCTGGCACGCTGATGAATCGACTGATTCATAACTAATCCAAGCCGAATGCAAAAACACACGGGACGGGCAAAACGTTGTGGACGGCGTGTGGAAACATGCCACAAACAGGCGCAAACTATACGCTCACGCGCTTTACTTTGTTACAATGGACAGACGTGGATTTATTTGCGCAATTCTTCCACGAAAGATAAGTTTATGCAGGAATTTGGATTATTTTTAAGTAGAAAAGTGCAATATGACTTAAAATAGCGCACATCTGATTTAATTTAAGCTGGTACCATTTTAAATAGAGTAAATTCTATAAATAACCACAACTAAACCTAAGAAAAAGATGGTTTAAACACAAAACATATAAAAAAATCATTAAAAACCATTATTATATTCCAAACATTCACAAAATTTGTTTTATTAAAACCAAATTCTCACACTTTTCCACTCAAAATTTTAAATTTCTTGATTTTAAATCCGTTCCTGGGCAAGTAAACACATACCAGCCGTCATCATTCATTTCATGCATTGCAAACGTGTAACAAACACACAAATGAATCCGGATTTAAGTGTACTTTATTAAATTTGCCGAATTTCTACAGCCATTAAGTGCTAATTACAGTCTAGCACCCATTTTAACATTAAATATCTACTCAAACTTTGTGAAAATGGAAGAAAACACGTTTGGAGACTTCTACAAGGTAACCTGTAAAACAAAACATTGTTTTTCTTCTTTATTTTAACATAAATAATAATATTTAAGGAGGAATTTGACATTGATGAGTTTCTCAATAAACAAACCGAAACAAATGAACTCAAAGAGATTCTATACTCTTTGAATGAGATGAAGAATAAAAACGCCAATCAGATGACAACAGTGCTCAGAGAGAAAACTGATGCTGTTATTCTCATTGCTGAACAACTTCAGAGTTTGTATAAGAAGATTGATAATCTACAGAGTCCATTAGCACAGTTAAAAGAAGAAGTACAGGTAAAAAGCACAGGATTTTTGGTGAAAACTTTGTCTGAAATTCAATTTTTAGATTGTGACAACCAGAGTTCATGATACTGTGCATGCCTATGACAAAACAGAGTCTTACTATCAAGATATTAACAAAACCAAAGCAGATTTTGTTGCAATTCGTGCCTATAAAGTTGTAATCACACAAACACAACAACTTTTAAAGATATTGATGAATCAGGATGATGTTGACTTTGACACTCTTGAGAGATTGGTCTGCAAGTATGCTTTTCATGCATTTGTTCTCAACAAATTGAATATTGTTGATACAAGTGACACAAAAAAACCTTCAATTGATATCTCCATCAAATTGATATTGCGAGACAGTTTCTTGAAGGCACATTCAGCAGGAAACAGTGATAAAGTGATGAGAATTATTGATATGTTTGTGTATTTGGGTATGCTGGACATGTTAAAGGAAATTGTGTGTGATGACATTGTTAAACCAAAAGTTGCGCCTGTTTTCTGCGAGGAAAATCTTCGTGCGTGCGGGAATGATATGAGTTTAGTGTATGCACAGGCTCTGAGAGTGTTACAACATGATTTGAAACTTCTGAACAACATCATAAGGTAAAAAAATTACAGGAATCTGTAAAATTTTAATGCTATTTTTGTTTATTTTACTTAGAACTGAAAATATCAACCTGGATATCATCTTAGATTGTTACTGGAACGTCGTGGATAAACTTTTACGCACGAATTTGATTAGTATCACAGCTGCTGGTCATCCAGATGCGTTTTTCAAACATTTTAATCATACGCATGAATTTCTGCAGGAAATTGGTGTGATTCACGGTAATCGCGAGTTGTACAAACAACACCATAGTTTTATTGAGCATTTGAAGCGTTTTAACCTTTTGGTTTATTACGAAATACGGCATCAGTACGTTTCGAGCTCTTTTGAGTTGGTTATTATCAAATCTTCAGAGTTTTCTGATGTTGAACAACTTGAAAAAGTGTGCACAACGAAAACTCCCAGAGGAATCTTTAAACTGAAGTCAAGTCTTGCTCTAAACATATTAATAGAGTATTTATTTAGCGAAAAGGTGTTCATGAGTATAATTAGTGAACAGTTTGCGAAATCAGCGATGTTATTGACGGCGAGATATTCAAATTGGGTTCAAAAATGTTTGGTAAGATTTTATGCATTTTTATGAGAATAATATGTAATTATGTGAATGTTATTTATTATAGATGTCTTCTTTGGTAAAATATCCAAGATCACAAAAAAATATAACAATAGCAGTGTATTTAATAAGTGATCTTCAACTGTTGACTAAGTTTCTACCAGAAAACTACAAAAAAATCGACAGTGCAATCGACAACAATATTCGAAATGCTTTAGAAAGCAAGTTACAAGAAGATTTTGGGGATTTATATAAAGAAGTCTCCGATTATTTAATAAATTATCATCTGAATAAGATAAAGGATGATTTAAAGAATGTTTCGGACATTCCAAGGCTTTACCGCAAAACAAATCGTAGCGTGCCGCAGCAAGCAAGTTCATATGTAAAAGACGCGTTTAAAGAGATTGTAATACTAAGCAAAATGTTGCAAAATGAAGAGAAACAGGAAGGAAATCAAAGAATTTTACTTAAATTGTTGCAAAGCGCAACAAATGAATACAATTCAATGGTGCACGGTGTGCTGAATGCTGTTTTCAAAACAGAGGAGAGTTTGAAACGCCTGAAATCAAGAAATGTTACGTCTAATGAAAGTGGAGTATCGCAAGGATCCAGTGATGAAGCGAAAATTCGACTTCAAATTAAACTGGATGTCAAACAGTTTGTACAGAGTGTAAATAGCTTTAAATTGAGCAAATTGGATGGTGAATTGGAGGCGTTACTTGTACAAATTGAAAATTGTTGATTGAGATGACGATTTCATTGTATAATATGTTGTATTATTATGTTATACGGCTTTAATAATTTATTTATTATTCATTCCTTTATTCTCGGAGCTCATTGCAGTAGATGTCGCTGTCTGTCTTTTCAATCAAATATAACCTACAAAAGAAACAAATACAACAGAAAATTTTAACTTGAATTAAACAAATAAAACAGTTGTTTTAATAGGAATAATTTTGCGTGTATGATAAAATGTCTTCAGATGAAGAGGATTATATGTCTGACAAGTACCTATTCAAGTAAGAGCTGTTTTTAATTCATGTTTAAAACATTCACTGATAATAAAATGCATTTACTTTTAAAACTAGGGAATCAGAAGATGTGCGCCCTGGTTTACCAAAACGAAAAACTGATCAACGCGCATTTGAACAATACAAAAAACGATTGAAATCAACTATTCCAAACAAAAACGAACAAGAAGTGCTTAAAAGAGATGAAGGCCTCAACACAGCCATTGCCAGCACCAACAAAGGTTTTCAAATGCTGGCAAAAATGGGCTACAAAACAGGCACAAGCCTAGGTTCATCCAATACTGGCATAGTTGAACCTATAAGCATAAATCTAAAGTCAGATAAAGGTGGCTTAGGAAAGAAATCTAAAACTAACAGCATAAAAACACCCAAAATTGAAGTCACCAAAGAAATGGAAGAGGAATACAGAAGAGGTGTACAAGATAAAAAGAACATGCAGATGATAAGAAAGTTTTACTATAAGGCACAGACATGTTGCATGAATTTAGACCATCAGAATCATGTGAATCTGCCTGTGAAAGACTTTTATTGGCCTAGGAAACTTGTTGACAAGATGAAAAAGAAAAATAAAAAGAAATCAACAACAAAAGATGATGAAGAATATGATTCAGAAGAAAGAAGTGATAATGAAGAAGAACAAGACCTAGAGGAAGAGGAAGAAGAGATTAATGAAGAATTGTTGAAGGAAATTGTTGGACATTTGAGAGTAAATTATTTTTATTGTGTTTATTGTGCTGCAAAGGCTGCAGATCAAGAAGATCTAGATTCTTTTTGTCCTGGTGAGAGTTATGATGATCATGATATGGATTAAACATTTCTCAGACAATATTTTAGTTAGATGGCGTTACTGCGGGGGTTTATTCCTATTTATCCAATCATAACCTCTAAGTTTTAGTTCCATGTGATTATTTTTTCAACTTAACAAAAGTTTCCAAACGATTTAAACAATTTCAAATATAATATGAATATGTCCTCATCCACTATGGAGTTGGAAAATATTGTGCAGAGTTTATGTGACAGTGAATTATTATTTTATACTAACAAAGAATTGTTTAAAAGAAATTGGAATACAGACAATCATAACATTCCACATTTTCAAAGAAAAGAATTAATCAGATTGTTGGAGGAACATTTTTCATGGAAGGAATATGACTATTATGTATATTTACAATTAGTAAAAGATTGGGAAAATCTCGCTGATGTGAATTCAGCTTCATTGCATATATTAAATGCCTTAACATCAAATATTAAAGAAATTGTGATTGTTGCTATGGATATAATGAAGATTTTAGGCACCAGGATCAATTTGAATACATTAATGATGTTATACTTTCATGTACATGGACATAATCCACCAGATATGAGGTAATTTTGTTAATAAAAGTTTCAATTTGCTTTTTTAAGTCAAATTTACATAGAAAAATATCAATTTTGGACATAAACTGAAAAAAGCTTTTTTTTATTAAAAATTTAACAATTAAATGCTGTTTTCAATACTTTAAACTTAATTAATATTGTAAAATTATTTAATTTTTGCAGTTATTACGCATATTTGCTGCCAACAATCAAAACAATTTATGGAAATGATGGAATTAACATCGTTCAAGAAAACTGCACGAAAACTCATGCGCTTTTATACAAATTACATGCACTGAAGTTTAATCAAAGAATAACGTACTCTGTGTTTATTGAATCCATGCAACAAACTCCAAACTTTTCTGTGTATGAAGACACGCAATTAGTTACGTTATTATTGGAAGTAATTTGTAAACGACGTGAAAAGGTACTGCCATACGATCGTGCTGAAATCGAATTTGTGCTCAACAATTTGTCAGGAATTGACCCACCAGCAAGTAGATATTTAAAATATTTCTTATCACACATTTGTATCACGTTCAACCGAACAAAATCGAGTGAAGCCGATGAATATACTATGAACTTATTTCAAAGGATACAAAATAAGTGCATGTTGTTGCTGAGTGAAGAAGATACAATGAAAGTTGCGCGAGGTGCATTAATTTACACTGATTTCTACAATTGTGTAATTAATTCAAAGTATACAACAATGTATACATTAATGGAGACAGATATTTGTTATCCTAGGAAATCTAAAGTGTATCTGGAACTTACTAAACGTAAAATGTTAAACATTGGTGAATTGGATAATTTGCGATGCATTGTTTCACTGATAAACGACACCAATTTTTATCTATTTAAAGAAATACTTGGATTTTACGATTGGGCGACGATACTGACGAAAGAAAACTTTGTATGTTTTTATAATAATCTACAAGATGATTATTTGGAGGATAAAATTGACGTGTTGGTTCGAATGTTAATTACAAACTGGTTTAATGACGAAGTTGAACGTAAAAACTTGGTTAACGAAATTATAACCTCAATGTCGGCGATTCCACGAAAGTTGGGTTATGATTTGTACAGAAACCTGAAAATGATTCAATTTTTGTCTGTGGAATTAACAAATCAACAAGCTTTGAGTTTAACCATAGTGTTGATGAGTATTATCGATGAAATCAACGAGCCATGTGTGTTGGGAACAAATAAATCAAAATTACACGAGCGCATAATTGTGGTAAGTTCTGTTTTCTCTTTTATATTTGTTACTATAATGAATTAAACTATTTTGTGTGTTTTACAGACATCACTTGATTTACTAGTGAAATTATCAATAAATTTAATCGAAATAGATGAAAATAGGGTGGAGCAGATATTATCCTATTTAGAAAAAGGAATTTGTTGTAATAAAAGATACGCTGCGTATCAATCCGGGCTGTTGTATAGGAAATTCATCGCACAGCATTTTCCTAGGCACCACAATCAATTAACTAACTACATATATGAAGTTTTAAAGGCAGACTATTGCTTAAGCTCAAACCGCAAGTCAAATATGCGTCGCTGTCTTGAAAAACGTACTTTGATTTATGAATTTTGTTCGGCAATTCAACGAAGACCTGAACAAAAGCATTTCGTTCAGATTGTTTTCAATACTTGCTTTGACATTATGTCGAAGGCTTTAATCAATGATGATGTGCAAGGTGGGCTTGATAGTTACATCTTTTCTGTGAATTCATTAATGGCGGATGGGTGCATGAAAGAAGATACAAATGTCTTTATTCCTCAGTTTTTGGATTTCTGCCTACAAGCTGTTGATAAGTTTTCATCACATTTTGTGTATTGGTGAGTGTATTATAAAATTTGATATTATTTACATGATTATAGTAAATGTAAAACTGTTTTGTGACTTTTAGCAATGCAATTTACACACTTTTTGCTACATTGGTTCAGCGTATCCTGCCATATCAGGACAACACCAAGAACATGAACATTCAATGCTTAATCAAGTTTTGTCCAACCATTCTAACGTACTACAACGGAGAAATGGCCAGGAAAAGTTATATTTTGATTTGTTCGCTGTTACAACGTACCAATAACGAAAGGTTTCTGAATTACGATTCCAATTCAAGCGTAGAATTTATAAATAAGTTGTGGGAACATTTTACTCACTCGAATTCTGACAAACTATGCGGTTTTGAGACAGATAATGCCATAAAATTGTGGTTAAACTTAACTGCGCTCAAAGACACCGAAAACATGATGTCGTGTTGTCAAGGTATGACTTTTCAATGCAACAGCAAACAAAATAACTCATATAATTGTAATTTTTTGAATGTCAAGTATAAATTACTGGAAGGTCTAGCTAAAAAGTGTGATTATACGGGAAAACAACGCGTGTTACTTAAAAGTATTGCTGTAAATTGTTTCACAGAGAAATTTATACCAACATATGCTTGTAAAATGCGTATTTATCCGCCATCTTGTTTAAGAGTGTTTAGATTAAAAGAATTGACACTGGAACAAAGTATAAAACGAATTGTATCAGGGAGCAACTCAATTTATGACAAATTAACCGCTTTTGAATTTTTCTTTGATTATTTCATGCAAAAAGACCAAGTAAACGTGTTTATTCAAAAGTTCTTAAGGTTATTTATCGGAACATTGTTTTTTGAGGACAAAACACATAGTAAAATGGAAAGTTTAATGAGTCTCAACACAATTGTGTATTGTTTGGACAAAATGCCTATAAATAATCAAAGAAATCAATGTTTTCGACTGTTTGATGATGTTATAAGTGAAAATTTATCAACAAAACCAAATTTATTAGCTTTTGTTACAATTTTCTTCATAAAAATGAACTTGCAAGATGAAAAGAATAAAATCCAGGAAAATATTATCAATGGTTACTCAAAAATTGCCGAAAAATTAGACAAACTTGAACAGGAAGAAGCTGAAAGTGTTTTGCTAGCGTTCAAATATCTAAAACACATTAAAATTGAGAATAGTGAGAGAGAAAAACGAAAAATCGAAATATTTTTGATAGGTATGAAGTTTTTACATTCAATAATTTTATCTGAATGTGATTATCTCTTGCCTAATGTTTTGGATGCTTTAAATATTGATTATTCCTATATTTATATAACGGCAAGTGATCTACGAAGATTCCTGTTGTCCAAACATTTTCTCGATGAATATTTCCCATGTAAACGAAGCAAAATCATAGCTGGATTGAAATATTTGCGCTGGAAACATGTTAATTATATCGAATAAGATGATAATAATCGTAATGATGTGGTGATATTAATTGACTAGTAAAATAAGATCCATTATTGTTAAAAGCCCACGTGCGCATTTGCGTCCATTGTTTTTTGACTTTCGATGATTTCGTGCGTTTGGAAGTCGTTCAGTCAAAAAGCACGCCGGCCATCGGCATGAGCGGCATGTGGAACTTCGTCGTTTGCAGTCTGTTTGTCTTTCGTAAGTTTCTTTCATATATTCGCATCGAAAATGTAATTATTGTCATTATTATAATGATAGATGAATTGTGTGCAATGGCGCGCGGCGAATTCATTTGTTTTCGGTGTGTTTTAGTGCCGTGCGCTTGCGTTGCCGACTTTTATGAAATGTACGAAAAGGTCTCATCGCAAGCGTGGAGTTTTGTATCTTTTGCGACGCGCACCGAACAGAATCTGCATGATTGTATGCACAAAGAAGTCTCTTATTATTTGTATTCTAAGTAAGTACGCCGTTTTATATGTTAGGTAAAAACAATAAAAAGTTATGTATACATTTCTAGGGGAGGTAAAGAACAGCGCATTTTCAATCGTGACTTGGCAGGATTAAACCGCAGCGGATTTAATCACAATTTGCCTACGGTGATGGTGGTACACGGCTATACGGATAGCAGAAAGAGAGCAATCATTGTGCGGCTGCGTTCCGGTAAGAGATTGCTTCATTGTTAATTACTATGCTCGTAATTAAAATAATGTTATTATACAATTGCAGAGCTGGTGGATAAACTAGATGCGAATGTGATCGTTGTTGATTGGCATCGCGCAGCGGGACAGATTTACTTCACCGCTGTTTCGAACACTTATCATGCGGGCGAACAACTCGGCGAGTTTTTACAGTTTTTGGAAGATGTCGGTTATGATTTGGACAAAGTTCATTTGATTGGGCATAGTTTAGGTGCACAAATATCCGGTGTAGCTGGAGGCAGAGTTGAAGGACGTGTTGGACGCATTACAGGTAAATAAACGTATAAATTTTGCGATTGTTAACCGCCATCTTGTAATTTTAACCTTAAACACACAAATTTATCATAATTTTTATAGGTTTAGATCCAGCAGGACCTTTATTTGAGTTCATAGACAAAAGAAACACGTCGATGTCTTTGGACAAAAGCGATGCTCGTTTCGTAGATGTAATTCACTCTGCGATGGGTTCTTTCGGTGTGATTAAACCTATCGGTCACGCTGATTTCTATCCAAATGATGGTTTAGCTCCTCAACCGGGATGTACTAATATAATTCTAGCTGGTAAATCTTAATTATCCTAGAAAACACTTGAAGAAACTAATAATATCTTAAAATTTTAGTTTCTTGTAGTCACATTCGTTCAGTTGACTTTTTTGTTGAATCATTGGATAAAACTCTACCGAAATACATGTCAAGATCTTGTACAACATGGAAAGAGTATCATTTATTTAATTGTTCAAAAGAAAACGTGGTACCAATGGGATATTACACGCCGAGAAGGTAATTAATGCATTTTAGACTTTTTTGTGAGAAATTTGTTGACATCCGTGAAATAATTAACAATTTGGGCATTTAGCGCGAGAGGATTATATTATGTGCAAACAAATCCGGATGAACCTTATGGAATGGACGGAAAGTTTTACAAACGCACATTTTTAGTGTTCGACCATCATAATTTCCATTAAAAATAACGTTAATCTTTAATAAACTAATTTTTTGCAATGATTTTGCTTGTTTTTAACCATAAAACAACTAAAATGTGATTGTTTATTAATACTTACGTTAGATTGATTGTTTATGACCTTAGAAGTATTGCATTTATTCATTTAATTTTCGTTTTTGGTTCTTTCGTTGTTTTTGTTGTAATTTTAAATTTTATTCTTACTCAATATTTACAAGTTATAGTTACAAACTTTATCGGTAGGTGACTCTAGGTGTATGAATCTACACCATAAATGTTTTCAGCGCTCAGAGTTTGTTGCAACCGACCAAGAAAACTCTTCCCTGTTTCTTGACGACTTGGCGTATCGCCGAATTTTCATATGCAAACATTGCACAGACAGACAACCAGACGCGAGCCGAACCTTGCATAGCCTTAGTAAAAATAAATTGGTTTTTGTGTTGTGTTTGCTGTTGTTTTGAAGTTTAGAACTTAATTGTGGTTTAAAGTCCATTTGTGGCCTGACATTCGATCACCTTTGATCACCTTTCGTCTTCACTTCCGGTTTTGTTTCGATCGGATGTGTTTTGTATTCAAAATTCCGAGTCAAACCAAAAGGTCACTGCATTTCGAAGCAGTAATAATTTATTGGTGAATGTTGTTGGATGTGCCAATGAGGGCACGTCGTGTGCTCAGCCCATAGGCAGTCACAGGTATGACGTCCGATTATTTTTTGTGTATTGTTTTTTTGTAGTGAATTGTCGCGCTTAATGTTTACAGGACGTTGGCAGTCGGCGTTTAAGTGCACGGGAGGTTTTTTTGTGAAGAAGATGCCCAAAATCAAGATGACTAAGAAGCGAAGGAAGGTGGCTGATGCGCATGGAGAGGAAATGAAGAAAAAACAACAGATTATTACAAATTTCTGTGAGGTAATGTTATTTTTATTAGTTTGTATTAATTCAGTTGTAGTATTAAGTGAAATATTGGCAATATTAATGTTTGTAGTTGATACATATTTATTTGACAAAATTTTGATTCAACTACTATATCCGGTCTTATCTTCATTTGAAATGATAAGAAAGAAAAAAAACATTTTATTGCAAATATTTAAGGTGGTAAATGTTGTTTAGAAGTATATTTAGAGTGTACAACAAAAATTACATCGATATGTTTATTGGTTTATAAGCAAATTGAGGTTAAAACATTAACGGCCATTTTGAATAAAAATTTTGACATTTACCGATGCATCGGTGCTAAACTTTTTAAAACTTTCCAGAATGTATAAAAATTAAGTCTTCTCTTAATCACTTTTCTTTTTACGCGTTTTTATGTAAACATTTATTAATTTTTACTAACGAAATTAGCAAAAGAAGTTTGAAAGAAACTATGATGACGTAATATGACATTTGACAACTTAAACAAAAGTTGTTATTATCAATATAAAAAATACCGCTCTTTGCGCATTGATTGCTGTTTATCGAGTGCTACACTTTCAATCACCTGTGAGTAAGACGAATATTTTTGCGCTTATAAAACGCAGAAAAACGAATCGTGCGCCCCAGACGCGACGTCACCGACGTCATTACTCGTACACCGACGTGGGTTTTGAAAACGCGCACGGCGCACATCGCATTCGCGGCTCGCCTCTCGTCTCTCGCCTGCGCATCGCGCATGCATCCGCTCACTTGTCAAAACGTAGCGAGCCACAGCACTACCACGAGTCTCAAAAAACTTTGTTTGCATCGTGCCCACTGTGTTTCAACACTTATCCACCATCAATAATCATCCAGTGAAGATTACTACACAATAAAACAGTGAAACAACCACCTAAACATATCGATTTACAGTGAAAAACTGAAATTTCCACGAACAATTTGAATTCCGTGCTTTGTGTCGGTGAATACGTACGCATCCAGTCTACCTGTGTGCGCTCCGGTGATTAAGCGCTTTTCCCAGTGCATAAATACACAAATATCCCCTTGGTAAACCAGTGTATAAACTATTACAATGTCCTACTAGGACTACAAACACTTGCCGAGGCAGCAATGTGTCGCAAAAGGACTTTGCCGATGCAAAACAAGTGCAGCTGCAGTGCTGATTTCTAGGTTAACTTTCAACACAACAAACAAACTTTTTCTTTAAAAACAACGAAAACAATCACAATGATTAGCCTTAAAAAGGTGTATAAAGATGAACTATTGCAGCTGGCGTTGATTCTCAGCTTGCTACGTTCTCATCCCGATGTTAACTATGAAAACGACTTGTTTAACACAGTCAATCAACTGGATTTGGACAATGGCACTAGCTGGAGATCCATGGGTGGTACACTGATAAGAAACCATTATGTCCATCCGAAAAGTCTGGACTCCTCACTGATGAATTACGAGGCCGAAGTGTTTGCTGATCTTAACTCTCTGGGAAGGTACAATAGAGAAGGAAATATTCAACACAACCGGAATATTACTGCTTACTTACTGGATCATATTCGAGGAGAAGCCGGAGATACTATCCCGGAACAACCTGTGCAAGATGTGCAAGCACCAGACGTTCCTGAATTGAATGAGGAGGTTTTGGGTGATATAGAGAATTCGGCTGATAATATTCAACTGAGTCAAGAGGTGAGTGAATGGCATTTTCAAGCATAACGGTTGATTGGCAATTGTTGATCGTCAATCATAAATAATTGCAGTTGTGCAGGATGCAAACACAGGATATTTATGCATCTTTTGTTTCTTGTTTTGATTATTATTTACGGCTTGGGTTTAACTCGAAAAATAAGTTTGCTTGGTTTAGTGGCGATTGTTTTGATGAGGTCAAGTAGTTTTTGGTAATTTTTGACATGGTGTGATGAGTGAGCAGGATTATTACGCATTGTACAATGTGCAACGTTATCGCACTCACGTTGTTTAGAAATTGAGAAAACGCTGAGTAATTTATTTGCCGGCATGTCAATGAGGTTTACTTTTAATCAAGTAATATTTGCGGGTATTATTGTTGATGGTTTATTAAGCGTTATGGGCTTTAGGAAGTCGGGGTGGATAAGTTACGAATGGGTCATGTTAATATTTTATTTAATTGAAAAAGTACGCCTAGGTTTATTGATTTTATTGAACGTTGCGGGACAAATACAAGAAGAAAATAGTACGGAACAGTAAGAGAGATACAGTAAAAGTTTCGTTAGTTTTTTTGTTTATTTATGCATAAAATGACAAAAAAACACGCTAACAATATATTTTAACAAGTTTTTCTTTTTCTTTCATAATTTTTACTTGCTTTTTACATGTTTTTTACTCATCTGCCTATAAAGTATGCTTCTAAAAGTTTAATATTTTTCTAAAATTGAAATTTTCATCGAAAAATTATGTAAACTGATTAATTTACCATTTTATAACTGTCTACTCATCACCGGCCATAGATAAGTGGATTGTTTGAAGTAGTAAAATGATAAATAATCGATTGTTTCGTTTCCTGACGACCTTGTAACGTTTCAATCGTCGCCGATTGAAGAGTGCCACTTTTCCCAACGCTATAATTGCACGCGATAATTATAGGTCAAACAGAACGCAAGAAATGACTTCTCTGCAGTGCAAACAAAATAAAAATAAACAAATATTTTGGGGTGTAATTATGTATTTTTACACGGCGCATATTTTTAGCGCAGACCCGCTATCTTTATTTGGCGTTTCGTCGTATATATTTGCATTTTACGTGCGTTTTTTTATTCTGCCTGCATTTGCATGCAGATACACAGGTACACTACGTGTAGATATTTGATGTTTGGTGTTTGATAACGAACGCTGTGTCGAAATAAGAGATATGAGTGTTTTTTTTTTGTCGTTGGGTTAGAAATCAGTTTTCTAATGTTGCTGATGTTGCAGCGTTTCGAATTACGTGATGTTTTATTTCTATGTTTTGTCTTGTCTGCGGTGATCGTTCGTCATTCCAAAATAAGACATCGGTAGCCTCATTAAATTCGCATTGCATTCGCGTGCGTAAAAGGCGCGCATGATTATAATTTACATTACACTGCATCAGATCAGAGAGTGGCTGCAATGTCGCGTTTATTTATCGAAGGCGTGCGTTTTTTTCGCGTGTAACAAAAAGGTGGATATTATTGTACACATGATGCACAACTCATTTTGGTCGTATGCTGTGTGTGTATCCTTGCCCTGATTGCAATTTTAGCTTCTTTGCCGCTTTAAGTCATTCATCAAACATTACTGTTTTATGTTTGAGTTTGCGTGCGTGTTTTCTTTGTGAAAATTTACTTTAAATGACAGTGTGATTGCAAATAGCAAATTGATGGTCTGGTGAATTTCTCTTCTTGAAGTGTATAGTTATGAGGACATTACGTGAATACCATTAGAGATAAATTTGAAATTCTTTTAGAATTTCATTCAGGATTAAATTCCACATCCAATGATTCAAAATTTCTATTAATTACATTATTTCATCAATAGTTATTAATAATTAAAGTTGAATTTAGTATAAAATCAATATAAATTTGCCTGTAACTTCTGTTTGATTGCAGCTATCAAAAAACTCTTTTTATGGTTAAATAAAGAATTTAATCATGAATTAAAATCAAAAGAAAGTAGGAATATGACTCAATTCGTTTTGGAGTAATTCATTAAAAACTATAAATTTTGAAGTATTTTCTTTCGTGCGCTGTGATTATATGAATCTTGTTTAGTTTTCGACATTTTCGTACTCATGTAGGTTAAGTACGCGTTGTCCGCACCGTTGATTTGGTAATTAATGGAAACGCACGAAGTGCGATGTACGCGTAAGAACAACGACCGACTTTTCGGTGGTCGAGCATCAAAACTGAAGCCGGTTACCGGTAGCCGGTGTAGTATTTATTTGCATTCGTTTATTATCGCTTTATTATTATTATTTCGATGCGGTCGTTTCGAAAATTCGAAATCTGTATGCATAATAAATCGTGTGTTCTGGCGTGTTAAAAATTAGCGCAGGTTCATGGCTTTATTCATATGGCACAACATTATTAAATTTCATTAAATTTAAATCAAGAAGTTATTTTTAAATTGAAATTTATTTAGTAAGGGCTTGAAATTCTGAAATTAAATATATTTGAAATATTATTCTTTAGTTTATGCTTAGATGGCGCGAAGATGCACTTATTTGCAATAAATTGTTTTGGTTTGTTGCAAAGTATTTTTTCTCAGTAGTAGTGAGTACAGTCGTATCCGTGTAAAATCACGCGATTTTGTGAAGGCGATAAGAGTGTTTACCTCGAATTAAATTTTGTTTCACACGCTGCATTCTTTCTGATAACGAATAAAACGTGGATTTTACAATTTTATTGAGGAGTTTGGTAAATATTCCTAATAATTCTATAAATATTCATTTTTTTATATATATAATTATTAAATTTGATTTATAAAAACGATTATAAAGCATAAAAAATATCTAAATACTTATTAATTTCTATTTTATATTTTTATTACACCAATTAATTATTAATTCTAATGCAATAAAATATATCGTATTATTTTTTATCAATTTTGATAAATAAAAGAGAAGAATAGATTAAGAACATTAATTTCATAACAAATTATTAACCATATATTTATCTACATATATTGAGTACAATGTTCCTCTGTTATCGTTGGTCTAGGTCACGCGAAAATTAATTCGTTCTTAATTTTATTAAAATCACCATAATATGTGATTCAATTCACTATTTGTTCTTTTTACGAATCGAAGGTCATCCCGTTGCCTTGTCTCTTGTCTTTTGCAGTGTCTCTTGACAACACAATATAAAAACATGATTCACAACAACAGCTGTTTGCAGTCGGCTGATTTTTTAGCGGTAGCTAATAAAAATAAATCGATTATAACAACGTACACCTTCACAATTCAGTCTAGATACATTCGACAAAAAAATAAAATAAAATAAAATAAAAACAAAAGTGATATCTTTATCTGTAAATGCATAATCTGTTAGTCGCTAAGTGTCTAGAGAAGCTAGACTAGACAGTGTTTTACATCAACATGCATAAATTTAAGGGCCAGGTTAAAACGGTGTGTTTATTTAAGCGTCGAATTTTAATAGATAACATGTGTGAATATTTTCGGCAGTTGCACACGTAAATAGGTACATACAAATGCACGTAGCTGTGGCGACCTTCACGCTGCTTGCGCTTGAAAATTTCGGGTTCTATTCGAAACGAATGACCCAACTTATGGTGTTATTCTGAGCAGCACCCGAAGTGCCGTACTGTCGAACGAAGGCAAATTGCAATTCTGAGTGCCCAACGGAGGTCTTTTGGAGGGTTCGGGTCGCCTCAATTTTTCGAGCAGCTTGAGGGTGCCGATAGCCTTCGTAACATGTTGTACGCATGCGCTGCTCTCTTGGCGCGGGTGAAACTGCCTTACCGCAGCTCTTCGTTCTCACTCACAACCGCACTCGGTCGTCTGCTGTCTCAGTCTGCCTATTCATCGAAATTGGTAAGTGGAATATTTTGCCGAGCCGTGTGCTCAGCAGATGTGAAAAAAGATGAAGATGACAAAGAATTGCACGCATCGAGTGTATCTGTATTTTTCAAATGCAAAATTCCACGTTTTCAAGCAAAAATTTCAAATTAAAAAAAAAACTCCTAAAAACAATAAATTTGAGATAAATATTTTGTCAATTTTTCACAAGTATTTGCTGATAATGAGCCAAATACGTAGCATATACAAGATTATTTATATTTTATGATTGTGTTTCTTCAAAAGTAATTTAAAAATCAAAACAATGAACAATAACAACTTTTGATTGCGACTTTTCAAACGTCAGTATTGAACCGAAATAGAAATAATAAGTATTAACACATATTTGTTGCTTATTTGAATAATTGAAGAACCCATACATTTGAAACTCGCGCGCTTTCTGTCAAATTTTAGGGTGCAGCGGGATTGACTTTAGGTAAAGATATAGATGCGCGCTCAGAATACCACTTAAGGCCGATCCATAACTTCGCCGTACGAAGCGTCTTGGAGCTTTCGTACGTTCGTTTGTTAAGTGGTGAACACAGAATCGCACCATTAATAACGTCTACGCGAAGCAATTAACAACAAGACAATGAGCGTACAGAATAAGTGGAAGTATTTTGGGTGTATCGAAATAAAAAAGAAAATAAAATAAAAGACTATTAAACGTTTAAATTCGGCAAATGTCTCAAAACTTTCAAACGTTTATAAATTTCCATTCAATTATAGGTTTTTATTACTCTTTATTTGTTTACGATGTGAATAAATGCCGATTTTAAGTTTAAGTATTACCTTAGTGAATGTTGTTGAATCATCAGCCTGTCGGCATGGTAGGAAATGATAAGTAAAGTCGCGCGATGGATTCGAACATGCTAGAACGTTATTTATACGATGGTGCAATAGTCGCGGCGTGTGTCGAAACAGCGCAAACAAAACGCAAAGTGAAATATTAAATCATTTCTGTGCAAATAGCAACATATTTAATATGACCTTTATTTTATAATAATAATTAAATTGTTTTTTGTCAAAAATATTTTATCCTGTATAAAATAACGTCTGTGTTTGTGTATTTTGCGTTTTATTACATTGTGGAGGTATTATTAAAATGAGTGTCGTCAGG